AGCGAGATAGTCAAGAAACCCGGCCCTCAGCTGGGTGCCTGAAAACACCGGATCCCATCCCGAACTCCGAAGTTAAGCAGGCGGGTCCCCGTGTCAAAGCGGGGTGGGTAGGGCCCACATTTTTCTCATTTTTGATAATTTTGTAGGTAAAATGAATCCGGCTCTAAGAGGTATTTTAACTACCGGTTGCACGGAGGTGATTCAAGTCTAAAGCTTAGTGCCACACTGCCGCACTGCCCGGAAGGCCACCTGGACCTGGGGTGGGCGAACCGCCAGTCGTCGTGGTTATGCTGTACCGCACGCAGGCGTGCGTGTTGCCTACCTGCAATGCCCGTTAGGCGCTACGGCCCCCTGGGGTAGGAAAACCAAACGTAAAGTATAACTGCAGGAGCCACATTTTCCAAAATTTCAGCATATCGATGAGGTCGGAAAAAATTAGGTCGGACAAACCTAGGTCGGACAGCACTTTTGAGGATTTTGGAAAAATCGCCAGGTCGGAGAAAAATAGGTTAGACAATCTAGCTGCTCCGCCACCGCTCTCCCTCTCGGGCTCGGCGCCTGCCAGCTAGTGCGTAGCCAACCGCTCGAGCTGCCGCGTATTCTCCCGTACACCCCCGCTCTGGAGGAGAGCGGGCGTCTATTGCTCTCCCTGCCCCTCGAGGTCACCATGCCGAACTCGACGCTGTTAGGCGCAGTTCTGGCAGGGGTGGTTTTATGGGTACGTGGTGGAGCTCCACCCCCCCCCCCTTTTGCCCCTTGTCCGCCAACCCTAAGAGCCGCCTGGGATGTAGGCAATTGAGTGTACAAAATGTCCTCCCCTGCGTTCTGCCGTTCTGCTGGGCGGCGAGGGCAAGGAAGGGGTTCAGAAATAATAACAGAATAATTTTCTGCGATCATACTGAACATATGATCTGTCACATACGGGGAATTTCATTTTCTCGGTGTACATTACAACGTCCATTACTTTGGAGAAAAGGAGGACTCCACCTGCGACTTTTTCCATGTTTGTTACACTTCCTTCCGCTTCCCGAGATGGCTTTGTGAAGGGCGCAAGTAAAATGTGCAGACCGGTTGTTCTGCTCGCCGCGTGCTGTGCGCAGTGCGCTGGTACCGGGTCGTGCAGGGGGTGGGGAAACAGAAGGGTACATGGGGTAGTGGGGAGGGGTCGGTGCAAGGGGCGGAAAATTTGGAGGGGGGGCGTATATGTAGGAGAGGGATACGCCGTCGATCCGTTTGCTGAAATATGAATATCAACGACGCGTACTCCGAATAGCAATCACACAGGCACGCGCGCGCGCACGCGCACACACACGCGCACACACAGACGAGTGTACATGGGAGGAATGGAAAAGAGTTCTGGTTTCACTTTTGTTTTCCCTCGTTTGTTCAGGACACGTCCAAATACCACGGCCAAAGATACACGCGAAGCGGATATCATGGATCATTCACTTCCGCGGGGACAGCAGCAGCAGCGGCGGCCCCGGTCCGGCTCCGGAGGTCCTAGTCCTGGTCGTCCTCCCGACGAGGAGTCTCCCCGCCGCCATGCCCACGCCGGGCCCCGCGGGTCAGCGCGGCCGGCGCGGCCCTCCGCCCCGCGCACGCACCCGCGCGATAAATTAAACACGGCAGGAATGTAAATAAGTAGCGCGGCGGACGAGAAAAATGGCAGCGGCTCAGTTACAGCCGCGTAAGCACTTTGTCCGGAGACCGGCGCGGCGCGCCAGCGACCCCGCCCGCGAGCTCTACGTAGATGTGTACCAGATATAGCGGCAAATTATTGTTGCGGTTAAATTGACTTCGCATGTCGGACGGATAATTGGGTCAAACTGCGGAGCCGAGATTTTTATACTTTATTTTTGAAAAGGCAAAAAAAATACGACTGAGTGACCGAACGAGTCGGTGGTCGAACGAGACGTTATTGCGTCACAGTTTGACAGTTTTACGACGACAGAGGAGGAATGGGTCGAGTGATTGGAACGTACGAAACACCAGCGTGTCGGGTACCTACCTCGGCGTCCACGCCCAGCAGCAGCAGCAGCAGCAGCGTTCGAACGCCACGTGAAAGTCCTCGATGGGGTCCGAGATGGGGTCGGTCACGTTCCGAGCGCCGTCGGTCACACCGCGCGGCCCTTGCCGTGACTCGGCGTCATTACCGCCCGGAGCAGCGGCGGCGCAGCGCAGCGGCAGCCGGTCCGCGAGGTCCTTGAACAAGGCCCTTGCACAGGGTCCTTGAACAAACTGCAGCGCTGCGCACTGTAACTCGGGAAAGGCGGCGCGGGCGGCGCCCAGCCACCATCAAAATGCAATGGCTCCGGCGGTACGTTCCACTCCAAAACGGAATAAAGTGCAATAACTCGACCACGCCCCCCACCCCGCGGACCCGCCGCGACAGGGAGAGATAAAGACGGCGCGTTTTTGGAGGTTTAACGCCTGCCGGTCGACAATCCGTAAACTTGTATGCGATAGCGTCGCAGCGCCGCGAGCAGGGGCGGCATGTAGAGGTGGTAGAGGAGGAGAAGGAGGGGGGCAAAAAGGGCTAGAGAGAGTAGCGGCGTGAAACGAGCCGATTGCTGCCGCCGTTTACCGTTGGCGGCGCGCAAACTAACGGCCGTGCCCCGCTCGGCCCGCAGCACCCCAAACAACTCCAATAACGGCGAGGAGACGAAGCCAGACGAGTTTGTCCTTCCGCCACAAAGTGATTGCCCCCCTCCCCCCTTTCCACGAGTCGTGCAGCAGACTGCTGTGCACACAGCCCCCCATCCCCACCCCTGTTCCAGCACCTCCATTTCCCTAACCACAGCCACGGCCCGTACTCCTTACCTACACACCCTACCCCCTGCCCTCCC